ATATAAGATCTGAACTCAGTAATATCACATGTGGAGTTCCTCAGGGTTCTATACTTGGACCAAAGTGGTTTATTTTGTATGTAAATGATTTAGTAAATGTATCGGGGTTGTTTAAGTGTGTTCCGTTTGCTGATGACACTACATTTTTTTTGTTTAGGTTTGTTGAGGATATTGAACGGATTGAAGAAATTTTGTAACTGATTAATTGAATATTAGATTCAGTTTTGTATTTTATACTTTCTGATCATTGTGGCTTTAAGGCCATAACAGAATAAGAGTTGGTGTGTGTGTGTGTGTGTTACCATGTGTTCTCTTAGCCTAAACAAAACTGAGTGACGTTCTGGCGCCTGATGTAAAAGGTAACACCTCTGGGGTGTAACCAGGAAGGGATGAACATTATAAGATCAATTCATTATTATAGTAGAAAGAAGTTGTCAGTGTTTTGCAGAGTGTCTGCTCAGAGCAGAGCTCCTGTGTTTGTTTTGATTCAGCCCAAGGTTGTAGCTGAGGCCTGTGCTGCTGAGTGCTGAATGAACCTGATTGGAGTCAGAAGACTGAAAATAAAGTTTTGAAGAAAAAACCCAGCTGAATCCTGTTTATTCAGACACACCATTTTGAACAACGCATATTTTTCCAACAGGATGTTGGAAAGGATACAAACAGAATTAGTAAAAATAAAAACATGGTCAAACTTAAATTGTCGCTAAACTTGGATAAAACTAATTACATGATATTCAGTAATAAAAAGAAAACTATTGATTTTCCTTTTAAAGTTGATGGTGTTGAGATTAGTAGAGTCAGTGAGATAAAGTTTTTGGGCATTATCATTGATGAAGGGCTGACATGGAGAGCTCCTGTGAATTACTTAAGAACAAAAACAGCTAAATCTGTTGGAGTATTGTGTAAAGTAAGGGAGTTATTCAATGATAAAGCAATATTTATGTTATATAATACAATAATTGTTCCACACTTGATTTACTGTGTTGAAGTCTGGGGTAAAGCATGTAAAACAATCACAAATCCTATTTTTATTTTACAGAAAAGAGCTGTAAGAATTATGACCAGAAAACATTACAGTTACCCTTCGAATATATTATTTTGTAAATTAAAATTATTAAAATTTTAGGAGTTGGTTGATTATAATATTTTAACCTTTAAACATCCAGTTGTATTTTGTTTAGAGAGAAAGTTCTTATAATCTTATAGGACTTGAGATGTTTGTGAAACCTAAAATTCGAACAAACTTGAAGGACAGATGTACTTCAGTTGAAGGAATAAGATTGTGGAATAATCTGGAAAGTGATTATAAAAATACCATTTCAATGTGTTTGTTTAAGAGAAAGATAAAAATAAGTTTGTTAAAGAAATATGAAACTGTATAATGTACATCCAAGTTGTTATTTGAGAATGAACTGAAGTTTTTATTTTGTTTT